TTATTTGCCAAAAAATTATTAAACATTTCCCCACCTATTTTATACATTTGCATTGGTTTCACAATGGAGGAGTGGAAAATATAAAGGAGGTTTGAGGAGATTACTTTAAATATAAATATATTTTCATTGTTTATGGTGAGCATATGCTAGTTTTGAAATTTTAAAAAGAAATTTATTTAAGAAATTTAAAAACTAGGTAACTTTAAAGTAAATCACATAGGAAGTTCAGTTAGAGAAATATAAATGGGAAAATTGGTAACAAAATGTCAAAAGATGTTTAACTTTGCTCATAATTTAAAAATTTAAGTGTAGTTGAAATGAAAATTTACTTTCAAATCTCAGATTGGCCACTATTTGGTGGCCTGCTCTATGACCACTCCTCCTTCTTTTTTGTTTGCTGGATTCCCCACTTAAGCAGTAGAAGAGGTGGTCTCACTCCCAATCTAACATGGGAGGCTCAAAGTCTAAGTCAAACGTGTAATTATTATAGCCTTTTCATATCAAATCTTTTATTATTTTGAGTGTGGTCATGGGACCTCATTCTGGTCAATGGGATCCAAAAGAAAGTGTACTAGGTGACTCTAGAAAATGTTTCTTCTTCAATTTATAAAAAAGTCCTGTGAGAAAAACTAACCTCTTCTTCATTTATAGAACTTTGTTTTGTTTGTATGTGACCACTACAGTAGTCATAGCTGTCCTTTGGCAATGAGCGCAGCCATTGTCAGTGTGGTAAAGAAGACAATAGAACATAAAAATGGAAAGCTCCTAGGTTCTTGGTAACAAAGTTGAGCTGCAGAATCAACCAACTCTATAACTAACACACCTGTGGACTTTCCATTTCCAGAACTAATTTTTAGTTGGACATTCTATTACTTACAGTGAAAAGCGTCCTGGTTAATATAATAACCCATGTAGAAGAGGGTACAGAAAGCCAGAATGCCGGGGTAGAGGGTAGAATCATGATTTAAAACATCTTCTGTGGGGGATAGTTTGGCAAATCAACTATAACTGCACTTAAAACTTTTTTTTTTTTTTTAATGACAAGGCAATTCCGTTTCTGGGAATTTAACCTACTGCTATGCTTACATTTGTGGGTGAAATAGCCAAAGAATAAACACAACCTAATAATCATCAAAAGGGAAAGGTTAAATAGATGATTTTTATATGGAATACTATGCAGCCCTTAGGAAGATTGATGGATGGACCAAAAAATCTACACATTATATTGTTTTAAAAAGGTATATAGAGTGTATTGAAAGTGTTATAAAGTATATAGCATGCTATGTTTGGATTATGGTTGTATATACAAAGACTTTCTGGAAGGATGAAGAAGAAACTATTAACCATGGTTGTCTTAGGGAGGGGAGCTGGATGTCTAAGACAGAAATGGGAGGGAGACTTATTTTCAGTGTTTATTCTGTATCTCTAAAATGTGTGCCAATTGTATGCATAATCTATTGTGCTCAATTAATTTTATTTTAATTAATTAATAGATAAAAGATTCTTGGAGTGCGTATCAGTTTTTGGGAAGATGCCTTGATGTAAAAAGGACTGCACAAAATAGGATGAGGTCAGGACCCAGTGCGGTGCTATTGAGTTGAGCGCTGAGGATGAATGTAGGCAGAGCCTCACAATTAGGTAGCTCAGGCCTGCAGCCTCCTTCTGTGGGCAGGTAGAGTTCTCCTGCTGCTGCATTGGTGCTGGGGATGCAATTACAGGAAGAACAGTTTGTTGGGGGATGAGACTCCTGCTTGCTAGCCTGGCAGGTCCAGAGCTCAACAACTGTGGCAAAGCAGCAAACTCAGAGTACTGGATAAACTGTCACTATGTCTCACACTTTCCTGCTTTATACACGCCACTTGGAAACTGGCAGCTACGAGATGTAGAGCTCTGGGATGGTCTTTGGAGTCAAAAGAACTACATCCTGGTAATGCCACTTAAACGCAGGGTAACCATAGGCTCTTATTTATTATAAATTTATTTTGTTAGCTAGTTAAACTTACTTATTAATTTTCCTAAAAGAATTATCTTTAACATTTTTCCAATAGTAAAAATTATGCATGTTTGATCTACATAAACCTAAATAAAATGGAAATGTATAAAGTGAAAAGCAAAACTCCTTCCTGTCTCTTAATTTTTCCCCTTTGCTTCCTACTACTCTGATAATCACTGCTTATGACTTGACCTTATTTCCTCCCCAGTTTTAATGATGAACAAATAAACCTAATTGTTTAACACAAATGGGATTCTACTATACATTTTATTTTCTCCCTGTAAGCAATATAGACCAAGAATCAGCATAATTTTTTTTGTGAAAAGTAAGATGGTAAATATTTAGGCTTTATGAACCTTATCCTTTATCCCAGATACTGAACTCTGCTGTTGTATCAGAAACTCAGTTATAGATGATATGTAAATGAATGGGCATAGCTGTGTTTCAATAAAACTTTATTTAGGAAACAAGCAAGTGGCAGGCTGCATTTTCCTTCAAGACACAGTTCACCAACCCCTAATATATAATAATTAAGTCTAACTCATCTTTTTTACTGGCACTCCATGGAATGGGTGAACAAATTCACTTCAATAGTCACCCATATATAGATATTAAAAGTCATTTCCCTCAGAAGCGCTCTTAAATAAGCACCAGTTATCCACTAGTTGGATTAGCTGGTGTCTGTCTCCTTTCTCCTGTGAACAAGTTAACGGCTTTCCGTGGTGTACTGAAATTGTGTGCCTTGCACAGAACTCCTTACTTCATCTGTGTCCTTTGGATTTCACCAGGTGAGCTGACCAGCAGTCTCGAGCTTGTTTAAACATCTGAACTTGTTATTGTAGTATGCAATTGAATTAAACAGTATGTTAACCAGAGAAATGGAAGTGAAGGAAAGACATTGTTGACTCCAGAAAAATGAAGTTGATTATTTTTGGAAACACCTAATTAAAGTGCTTTTTCAAAAAAAAAAAATTGTTGAATTAGGGTGAGTTAATTACAATAGACTAAAAACCAGCGAGCATGTGATAGGCTTTGGGGTGAAGGACCCATAGCATCAGCTGCTTGGGAGAGGAGGCCAAGCAGCCAGGCTGAGTCTGGGTTCAGGTTCAGCCCTGGTCTCTCTTTGATTTTCAGAAGCTTGACTGGTCTGGGGAATCTGCCTTCTGCCTGATGAAGCCCCAGGCTCTCATCTTGTCCGATCTTCTTTCCTGGGTCTTAGGGGACCTCATGTCTGACTATATTTAGCCTATGTTTTTATACTCTCTGAATGTGAGAGGTTATTAAGCATAAGATTCTGTTTCTCCTCTCAAAGGCTGGTCCAGTAACATTTAAAATAGCGTTAAGTCTATATTTACATTTTGATGTCACTCATGCTTTATTTCCTTAGCAGACTGTCTATTCTGTTCCACTCATGTTTTTCTCCCAAGCAGAATCTATCTTATCTGACATTGCAAAGCAGTTAACATTGATTCTGGTGAATGGTCTACTTTGATTTTTGCTACAGGGAGATTTTAGTACAAATTCACATATATTGTTTTCTCAACAAGTGGAAAATTATGTTCCACATTCATTGTGCTGGGTTTGCCGAGCCTGCTATTTTGTAACTCACTGTCTCATCTCTTTTATTTGCCTTCTCTGTCACTGTCAATGTTTTCCTAATACTTCATCCTTTATGCAGACTCCTTCCTTGGAGCTGAATTTGGCAGTGGAGTTTGCCTAACTAATGGGGACCATATGCTCTGCAATTACATTCCCCAACAACATTCAGATTTGTTAGCAAATATTGGAGAAGGCAAGTTGAGAAACTGGAGCGCAAAGGACTATCAGGAACTGGCACATTCTGACAGGTAAACCTGCATTTACTGACCACTGGGAATAAGTTCCAGTTGGGGCTTCTATTGACTTAGGCAGAAGGGGGATTTATTTTTTAAAATATCTATCAATTGGTATACTCCTCTTCAAATAGCTAAGTGCCCCTCTGATGTGTTCCCAATGGCAAACTGTGCTTTCCCCTAGAGATCGATTTTTAATACATAGCTATCACCTGTTTATTTGTTGATCCCAACCCTCCCCAAGACTGGAGAACTGGAATCATAGAATTCCTCACTGTTGTTTTCCCAGCTCCCAGCAGAGGACTGTTAACATAATAGCTATTCAGTAAATATTTGGCTAATGAGCAAATGAAACAATCTCTAGAATGCATTAAATCCCAACACATTCTACACATCACATCTATATACCTTGGATGGCTTTTTCCCATTCTCCAGGTCCTTCCCTTTCTGTAGGCTGGACCAGCTTTGCCCTTGGGAGTCCAGGTCCCTGAAAAGAGTGCAAACTCTGAAGGTTCTGAAGAAGGTTTAGAGCATGGCCCAACATGGCAGGATTAGTTTTTAAGGGCTTTTTCTTTTCTTTTTTTTTTTTTCTGCTTTTAAAATGTTCATCTGTTGCCCTGTTGGGGATGAGTGTGGAGTAGGATGAGTCAAACCTTTAGCAGATTGTCCTGAGTTTTGATAAGCTAAATGCAGGGGAAAGAACACCATTTGTCTATGCAAATGGCAGGAAATGGTAACTAGCTTGAGAGTGGGTGGCTGAGGGCAGAAATGCTTTAGCTTTTCAGGGACCTATTGAAAGATGTGCATTTTTTTAGTGCCCTGCTTGCTGGAGCCTTCTGCAGGAGCACCTGTCCCATTGGCCCCAGTGTGGCTATGTAGGGCTCTCAGGCACTACGTTGAATGACAGCAGCACTTTCTCTCCATGCCTATTGCAGTCTTAAGCAGCACCCACTGACTGGCTCCTTGAAGGCCATGGAGGTGGGGAGGTCTATTTGCACTTGAAGCTGCAAAGGGAAGCTCATGATTTCAATCAATCCACAACTTTGCCTTCATGGAGGAGCATGGAGGGAGGAGACAAAAGCAGACTGATTAGAACTCAGGGACCTCACCACCCCCAGCCCACCTCTCACCCCCATGGCATGTGACTGCTACAAAGACACAAGAAACACTCCTTATTTTAGAACACAAATACATAAATTTTTAATCTGCGAAAAATACAAAATGAAACCATGTACAAGTTATGTACAAACCCTTTTTACAAGACAAGAGAGTTATCACTGGTTGTTACAGATGACAGAGTTGGGTAGATCATTTCAGAGCACCAGCATATATTCTCTTCTTCAATTCCTGTCAGGTCAGAGTAATTAATCATAATCATAATCATAATGCCAACAAAGATCGAAAGATGAATAAGCCACGCTCTTTTTCCTTAATGAACATGTAGGCTGCACTCTGCATGTGTGTACTTTTTATTTTTCTTTGTCCCCTAAAGAAACCTTGAAGTGCAAGTTTTGGTGTTACGCAGAGGAAGGTTTCTTTTCAACATCTGGGTGGTGGGATGTGGGCCAGAAGTTTTAGGCAGGATGTGATTGTGCCACCTGGGAATGGAACGTTTTTAATTAGGATTTCCCAACAGATCTGGGTTTATGTTTGAAATTTTGCAGTTCTGGTCAAAGGCATGTCAGACCGAATTGAGCGGAAGGAAGGGGAGGAGAGCGAGTGCTCTGGGGCAGATGGGATTCTGGTTTTGTGTGGAAGTGAGGCTCGGTCCACCTTGTGGGTGGGGCTCCTGTCCCTGCCAGCAGCCTTCCCATGCTGACCCTGAGTCCCATGGGAGAGAAGCACTGGGTCACTCTGGCAGGCGTGTGCCAGTGCCTTATGTACATTTCCATCTAACATTCTAAACAGTGGGGCCCGGTAGTGCTTCCCAAAGCAGGCAAGGCCAAGAGTACTGGTGTCACTTCTGTCCCTGTTCTGTTAACTAGCAAGACGGAGGAGAAGCAGCAGCACAGAAGTCCTCAAGGGATAAGCAAAGGAAACCTTTCTAAACTGACAAACCTACCTAAAGATAAAGTCCACTTTCACCTGGCCAGAACATCTCTTCTCACACTGCCTGTTCAGAAAAGCCACCAAAGCAGTGTGGTTGTAGCATTTGTTTTCAGACCCCTGAAACTAAGGGTGCAGGGTGTGTGCTGTTCAGGGAGGGAAGAAGAACAGTACAGACATGGACAGGAACGTGAAAAGTGATGCCCGCCTTGAAACCCCTCCCTCCTGAGTCCTCCAGAAAGACTGCCAATCGCCACACTACCTGTCCAGCCTCCATCCACCATGGCAGCCACAGTGACACATAGTGGCTGAGTGACTGTCCACCTGGGCCAGATCTCATGACAAGCTCTGGGAATATGGACAAATAAGCAGAGTGAGTCCTTCAAGTGAGTCCTTTGACTTCTACATCACCATCTCCAACACCTTTCATCTCCAGCCTCATAGATGATCTGTCCTCTCTTTCTTAAAATTCCCCTCTTATTTCTCATTTTCCTGGTTTCAGAGTACCCTAGATCTCCTGTCCCAAGAAGGTCTACTTATTTTGCTCCTTTTTAGTCCTGAAAAACATGACTTTAGCTTACAAACACATCTCTGCCAGCTGATCTAAACCTATACTTTCTCCCTAAAATAATTCATCCAGGATCCTCACTTTCTAAGTGCCTCTGTGGATCTGGCTTCCACATCTGCAGGGCCTGTTGTAGCCCACTTCTTCACACCCCTGTCCCACTCGTCTTGCCTATGGGGCCTTCTCTCATGGACAGCGCTCAGCTTTTCCTGCTCTGGATTAACCCAATATAACATTTCTTAGCTGTCATACTCACAGCCTCCCCTTCCTGCCTGCTTCTCTTGTTTTCCTATTCCTCCACATGGTTCTGTCCTTGAGGACAGATTAGGTGTGTGTTCACTGCACAATGAATATACTCTAGACCCACAGCCATTGCCCCATATCCAGTCACTACAATCCCAACCAATCTTCTACAACTATTACAATCTGTAACATTTATTTGTTATTGAGTGTTCACATTTATTAAAAAATTATTTATTGAACACCTGTTTTGTGCAACGTGATCTTTCCAATATATGTGTGCCTTGTGTTCCCAGTTAGGCAGGCGGGCTATCTTTCTCTAATAGCCTTACAGTCTTGAGGACACAACAGTTGCTCAGTAAATATCAATTAGCAGTTACTGATGAACATCACCCACCCTGCCACATGCCAGATAATCCTGCCTTCATACCTGGAATGCTGACCCTCTACTAATCTAACTCCTAAACCCCCCTTTCTCTAGAAATCCTACCTTGCTGAACCACTTCAAACCACAGCATTTCTCCCTTGTTTCATCTCCTACCATATTGAATGTGAAACTATATCGTTAGGGCTCACCCTTTCTCTAATGGCGCTTTGAGCATGTTTTCTTTCTTTAGTTGTATTATAAGCTGATTGATGGCAGTACCTATATTGTGCTCATTTCTCTCCCATCCGCTCCTTTTACAAATATTTAATGGGTGCTAACAGGTTTCTAAGCAAGGGCTCCCTGATTAGCTACAAGGATGTTTTCATAATGGAAATTCCTATTTGGCAGTTCTGGACTATTAATTATTCTCTACAATTTGTGGATGTCCTGCCTCATGTTCTTATTATATTACTGTCTAGAAAATAGTATGATTGGCCAATTTTTAAAAATTTATGTATCCATTCCTACCCTCTAATCTACTTTGTGAGTTTGTTGCTGACATTCTAGTAATTCAGGAGAGTCAGGACGTTCTACGTCTGATGGTCTTGTGACAGAAAGCAAAGCCAAATGTGTGAGGAAGGGGGGTGTTGCACACGGTGAATTGTTGACTTGGAGTGGGCAACCTTTAGCACTCCTTGCTACTGAGAATATGTTCAGTTTTGTGTGCATTCTCATGATATTTTCCAGGAAGAACTGACATCTCACTACTTTCAGCCTGAAAAATGCACAGCCATTGCTGCCCCATCACTCTTTGCTTAAAACTCTTAGTGGCTTTTCATGACTTTCTAAATCAAGTTTCAAGCTTTTATATAGGCCTTTAGACTGTACTTTGTAGCTCCTTCCATGAAGTAGCATCTCAGTTTTCCCCAGTTCCCCTACACAAACTTAACACAGTAGACAAAATAGTCAATCTATTGAAATCACATTCCTACAAATACATCATGGCCCATTAAGTCCCATCTCCCTGGAAAACCCTCATATTACACATCTTTCCAGTCCTGTCACCCAATTACTATTGAAATGCCTCCAAAGCCCATCAAGCATTATATGCCTCTGCATTCTTACCAGCCCATGCAGCTCAATGCAAACTCTTCTTTCTTCCAACCTAAAGAACTACTCTTTGTACCAGATGCATGCCCATAACTGATGGTATTTTAAAATACTGCTTATTATATCTTTTTCTTTTTTTCTGTCTTCCTGGATTCTTAATGTATACCCCAAGTTTGTCTTATCTTTAGATAAGGAGTCTCAGGTCCTTTCTGTGATTAAAAAAATATATATATATATATATGTCAAAAGAGGAAAGTCTGCTACAGGGGGTCTAAGTCAGAATTCTTTCTCCAATCTATCCATGTGGGGCTATGATATCATGGAGCTTCCAACCATTGTAGGGCTAAAGGTGCCTCTGTCTTTGAGCACATAGGCTTCTTTCTATACATGTTTTAAGCAAGCTTACCATAAAAATTGAAAATTAGGCTCTGTGGTCTCTTAAGAAATAAAATTTAAAATGTTTTCCAAGTTTCCTTATTTTTATGGAATTCTTGAAATTATTAACAACTGATATTTTATTGGAAACAACCAATTGGAAAAGACTGCACTTAAACAACCAATATGACCGAACTAGTATAAACTGTCTAGGAATCATTTCTCATTACTACTCTCTCATAAATAAATCCAAATAGCATCATCACCTCCTCAAATGACCATGGGATTTATATGCTAAATCATCTCTGCTGGATTAAAATAAAATGCCTTTTGGGAATGAGGAGAGGGGCAGAAAGGTAATTTGCCAGAAGATTGTAAGTAAATTCTGTTTCTTTTGCTTTTTAAAGAGGGTGAGTCAGTCCTAATTAGTGAAGATCCTTTCAAGGGTCATGGCAATTGGTGGCTTTACCACCATTCCAAAAGCAGCAAGTAAGAATAAAACAGAAAATGGACAGATTCTGCCCTGGAGCTCAGTGTTCAAGCTGAATGGATCTACTTAGTCTCCTAGGAGTCAAGGCGGCTCACATCTCAGTCAAATGGTTGAATAGTCTTTGTTTCTCTCCCTTCCTACCTTTATTCCTCAATTTCGCCTTTCCTTCCTTCAATGAGGTTCCCTTTGACAATAAAACAATAGATTAAAATTACATTTATGAATGTAAGTAGCTAAGAGATGGTTAGTTTATTAACGAAAAAAAACAACCAAATAAACAGAGGACAGGAAATGAAGTGAGAAGGAAGACTGGTTACTTCCTGAAGATCCACATGGGGAAACATAAATGGGGAAAATGGCAGGAATTTGGGGTCTCTTGAACCTCTAGTTACATACTAGGAATTGGAGACATGGAATAGAGATGAAGGGATTAACTGAAGCTGGGCCTTGAACCAAAAAAAAAAAAAAAAAGGGCGGGGAAAGGAGGGATGAAATTGAGAAGAAAACCCTAGAACAGGCAGTGAAATATGACCAATGTGATTCAGGTGCTGGCCATTTTTAAATCGTTTTAATAATTCATTTCCCTTAATTACAATTAATTGTGATGGTGACTATCATTTCTCCGAAATGAGAAATTTGCATCTTGAACCTAAAAAGACTCTAAGGTGAAAAGCACAGGAATGAACCTACCTATTCTACGTCCAGAGCAGAAAATGTTCACCACTCGTGAGTAAGGCTGAGAGTGTTGCCTGGGTGATGCAACATAAAGGATGATTATTCCAGCCCTGGACACAATAGTCTCCAAATGTTTAGCCAAGAAGAGGCAGCCGCTCCCATGTTCCCACTCCTAACTTAGATCATGTGCCCTGGGACCTGAAGGGACCTTAGAGTCATCTAGAGGAATCACTCTCATTTACAAATGAAGTCACTGAGACGCAGAGAGTTTTAAAAACATTTTCAAAGATCATAGCTGGTTGTAAATGCGGCTCTTGCACCCTCATATTAAATGGTAACTAGGGAATTTGTGCTTTTTCTCCTTTCAACATGAAAATATCCCAGATTTCTTATGCTTTTTCACTTTTCCTTTATCTAACTCTAAAAAACACTTCCAATTTCCTGTTTATTTAAAATCTTCAATCAATTTTTTACAAAGTACATCATAAGGTGCCAGAACCCTTGGGAAGAAAGAGTTTTGGAATGTTCTCCAACATGCCTTAGTCACAGTCACTTTTATTTAAGGTGTTTTGTAACGGTTCAAGATGATATTCTAAAATATAAAATTGATAAGAAAAAAATAAGTTTTCTCAAGGAGAAAGGTGATGATGGTGATGATATTTTCTGCTCTGTAAACAGCCTGTTGGTGAGTCTTTGATTCCCACAGCACCCAAGAATCATTAGTTTGGGAGAATGGCTTTTCTGGAGCCCTAAACTGGGATGGAAATCAGAGCCTCATAATGTGGACTGTACTAAAGAAGACCCTCCTTGGTCTCAGGTGGATGTAGGCAGAAAGACAGACTGTCTCAGCGGAGATGGATGGGACTCAGGGCCAAAGAGCTCAACGAGTAGGAACAAGCCAGGGAGAAGCTCTGGCATTTGCTTGAGCCTTCCAGTGATTTCCCAAATCTTACTTGCTTCCATTTCGCTTTCTACTTACCAGGCACCAGCTTTTGCCAAAGGGCCCAACAGCCAGCCATTTTCCTACCTCCTTAACAAAACGCCTCATTTTGTTTTCTAGGCCAGAACAATTCATTATTACAAAGGCAACATAGTATGAACTTATTGCTCTACTTAAGAAAATGAATTTCTACTAATTTGTTTTGTTTTTTCTGGGGTGGTGGTGCTTATGAATCAAGGAGCCCTTTGCTGTAGGAGATGATCCTAATTATTATGATTTTTTTTTTTAAGTTTAGATTCAAATCTCTAGCCACGAATGCATCAATGGATGTGTTGTGGGGTTGGAGTTTGCATTTCTGCTTCCAGATTACCTTGGTAGGGGAGACACAGGGAAGAGAGGGTAGTGGGAATGGAGCTTTGTGTCCTGTGTCCCTCTAATGGAAGATCCTTTATGTGGCCACCACAGCCTGCCAGAGGAGACCAAATCGCTCTAACAAATTCGGAGGTGGTTATTAGGAGCAGGAGTGAAGAGCCCACTATGGTTCACGAAGGAAAGAAGAGCGTGGATTGACGTGAATGTACTAAGGTGACCCCAGTGCAAAATCATTATGTAAAAGAAGGCCTAGCTTTCAGGAAAGTTGTCAAAATCCTGGCAAAAGGTTCTCCCCACAAACACATTTGACTTCTGTTGGAAACCAAGAAATGTTTATAAGCCTGAATATAGACTGTTGACGTCATTTTAGTCTGCTGAGTAGGCTAGTGATTAATTATAAGTAGTTTTTAAACAATCCAATTGGACATACATTATATTCACAATACTTTTATAGAACTAATTCTACAAAATGTGACGACAGAGTAACCACAGTCCGACAAGTCACTGCAGGACAATGCCTACGAGGTGGAAGCACAACTATATTGGCTCTGCAGGGAGTGGACAGAGATGGAAGCTCATTTTGCCTACATTGGTAATTGGAGTACTTAGTGGACATATGTCTTCATGATGATCTCATTGCTTTGCTCTGATCTGATTTGCACTACCATAACTAAGTACCACAGGTCATGGTCCAAAGAGTTAATGGACTAGATATCATGAAATTTTGGGGAGATACTTTGGTTAGCTTGGTTCCTTTAAGTGTCCACAGTTTACATTTTTTAAAGAAAATAGAAATCACTATCACATCCATGCTTCTCCAGAGACCTTGATGATCATATCAAAGACTGATAATTTTAAAGTTGAAAGACTTGCTAAGTTGATTAGAACAAAACAGTTGCCGGGAGACTGTACACCTAGCATGCAAGCGACAGCAGAGCTCTGAGACATTGTAATTGCATCTGATGGCTAGAAAAATCTTTTGACCGCAGTTTAAAGTGGCTGATATATTTGATTTCACTGCTGGTAATTTTCAAAGGCCTTTTCTAACAGTCTATATGAAGTGCATTCATTGCTTTCCTTTTGTTATTATTATTTTTAAAATTGTTGTAACAAGTTCACGTGTTTGGCCCCAGCAACTAAATAAAGGAGAGCATGCAAATTAAAATCCCGTCTCCATGATTGTAGAAATTTCCTGGTTTTTAAACAAAAACTCAGTGAGAAGAATGAATGCCCTCTCATAGCCTATGGTAAAGTAAAACTATTGATCAGTTTTACAAACTTCCAGGCTAAAAGCTCTGAGACTTGGGGAGTGGGGAGGAAGTCCACCAGACCCTCCCGAAGTTGACATTACTCGCTCAGGTGGTTTGGAAATACAAAATGAGAAGCATACAGCATGTAGGAGTCCCCACCACTAGAACAGCAAACAGAGCAATGCCTTGTGCGCATCTGGTCCTCAGCTTCCACATCCCAGGCTTGCCCACAACCCTCCTGGTATCCTTAGTTGGCCAGACAAACCTGATCTGCCAATTGTAGAAAAGCAGCAAGAAGGTCTTCCCTTTAAAAATATGAACAAAGGGGTGAGAACTACAGAATGAAAACTAAAACTACAAAAATATGACTTTCAACTGTGAAAATAAATAAGTTTCCATTTATTAAGAGCTGGTGTCAATGCAGATCAAAACACACACCCATCCAGGCGAGGAGCAGGTATTCACCTGTCCCCTTCGTCTTCTTTTTTGGACTTACTAAAATACATGTATACATCGTTGGCCATTTTAAAATTGTTTTAATAATTCATTAAAATTAATTACAATTAATTGTGGTGGTGACCATCATTCTCCTCAAAAGAAAAAGAGAGAAAGAAGAGAAAAACGCATTAAGGAGTCTGGCCACTTATTCATTTAGAGTTTGCATTGTTTAGATATAGGGAAGATATTTGACAATGGAAAGAAAAGAAAAAATATATTTTCTTTCTAATAAACAAAAATAATTTAAAATGCTAGAGGCTATACATGACTATTTTAGTATGTTCATTTATAAATGAAATCATTTTCTTTTCCAAAATACATGGAAGCAATATTCAAGGCAGACAAAGAGAAAGATCTGTCTACTTTATTTTCTGGCAATTCTTGCTTATCCTAATGTTTCCACCAGTGATTCAGCATGTAAGAAGAAAAGTCACATCACCATTGATGAAGTTTGTCAGGCTTTAAAAAAATAGTTCTGGTCTCCTGGGAGTCAACATTCATCTTCAACTTCTCTGATTGGTGGAATCAAGCTGCTTGTGGATTTATATTGGTTGATCTGGTTAGCCATGTGGGTACTCATGGGCTTGATTTGAATGTTTCTGGGATAGGCATTATCCGGTTCATCTGTAAACCATTTCTTTTCTGCTAAAGGGCAAAATGGATAGAGAACAAGAAGGAGAAATTAGAAGTTTAATTAGTTCTAAGGCAAAGCCTTTGGAAAGTTCATTGAAAAACGCAAAAAGGTAATCAATAGAAGCCAATAGTGAGTTAATTGCTAAGAGAGACAGTGCAGTGTAGGGAGGATCCCAAACCTGAAACATACCTCTGCTTCCTGTAGCAAGTGATGAGTAAAATGTGTCACTGGGACTCAGAGGCCCCATGAGTGGACCTCAGAGGCTAAGGAGGGGTTGCAGAATGGACTCTGGCAATATTCCTTGGAGTTAATTTCGTGGCCAGAAAAGGTTTGGTGGGGAAGGGATGTTGCATATATCAGCCATTGGGTACAGACATTGTGCCTGAGAAGAGATGTGTGCATCCATTGATTCGAGTGGAACAGAAGGGCACCACCACACTTGCTGCAGAGCGAGTGATCTAGAATCTTATACAGAATCTCCACCTCCCAGCCTTTCCTTGGCTTTGCTTATAACACATACACATAAAGTCATGTCTCAACTTTACCACTCTCCTGTTTCATTTGTAGCCACTTTGGGGGGTCTAAACTAAACCCATCGATTTTGCTGGCCAAAAATCTATGCAAGTCAGAATAGCGACCAATGTTTTAAAGATGATTTTGAGGTGGCTTTTATATCAAGAAAGAAAACTCTGTGTTGGTATAAAGTTATGAATAGAGTTCCAAGTGGCAATATCTTAACTGACTATAATAACCCAAGCTGTCTACAAGGGAGCTCATTGAAGTCTTGGCATTTCATTTCCACCCTAAATACAGAAATGGCTGAGAGAGAATGCTGAGTCAGGGTGTTTGGGGGCTGGGGTGAGAATGAAAATGGTCTAGCATCCTCTTCATAGTGCAAAGCTATTTTACAAGACTCAACCCTCATCCCCGCCTCTTTCTAGGATTGAAATTTTCTGGGAAATTGGCCATGTGTATAGATAGGAAAGGACTGGGCAAATAGGACATTCTAACTTGGGAATCATACGCCTCACTTTAGTGGCTTAGGGAAAGAAAAGCAAAAGGGTAAAAGTTATCAAGCACGTCCACTGCTATAGAGACAATGGTCTCTCTAGCTGCTTTTTCTGCTTACCAGAACAATTCGTAACTGCCTTGTCAGTGGTCCTGGATGGACACTATAGTGAAAACTGCTCACCTGGTTTGATAGGGGATGTTGGGGGTGGGTGGGTATGTGCATGTTTGGCTAATGATTTATAAATTAAGTATCTATGATCAGCTCATGACCACTCTGCTTGTTTCTCCTCAGTTCTTACTTCTGCTATTTCAAGTGCCCTGAGCTGTCAATGTCAAGGAGGGCTGTCACTGGAGCAGGGATGTGCCTGAGTCAAAGCCTCGCCCCACTTTTATGCGGCAGCTCAGTTTACCGCACAGGAAACTTTCTACCTCTTGCCTCATTCTCCCCATCCCCCTCCTGCTCTGGCTTGCTCACCTATTATAATTAAGTTCACTTTGATTTGAACAGATTGGACGATAGGAATTCATAATGCTACATCCTCACAGTGAAGCTAACTGATTAAGTGCTTTAAATTATTCCCCCTGACAGAATGATAAAGTTACAATCTGTTCTGAGATGATCTACAGCTTGCCAGACTCCTACAGCTTCTTTCTACATTCATTTATCTTTTTGTCAAGCAGAATTTTTTTTTTTCCCTAAGCCTCAATTCCATAGATCTTTTAAAGTCATCAGCACATCTGAATTATTAATGAGGCTTTAGAGGCAAGGTTCCTGATGGGCTGGTTAAAAAAGGTTGTATAGAAATCCAAGACTGTGTACACATCAAAATAATTTCAGCTCCATTTAAAAAACCATTTAGTTCAAGTGTGACATAGATGAACCATTATGCATTTGTGGAAACCAATTTTTTGTGATCTATGATTAAACTAACCTTTCAGAGAGGAGTAAAGTGTGATGGTTATCATGTTTTAAAAGCATTGCCAGGCCGCTGAAACAATTTCAAACTATGACTTTTTCCAGCGGTTTATGTGTAAAGATGATTTTCAGAGAGGTTGAGCCTGGTGTTTGTGCTCAGGTTGCCTGAGCTGCCCTCGGTTTTTGGCCATGCTGTTATGCAGACTGATTTTGCAAAGGGATTTAGTGCTAGGTTGGACATGCCAGGTTGGAAGAGTGAACTCAGCTGATGGAAATGAGTAGGTCTTTTGGGTGAAAGACCTAAGACAGCTGCGATTTGCTGAAATTTTTACAACTGCTGCAGAGAATAATTGTTCAGAATTTAGTCTTTGCAGTTCAATTCAAAGTTGGCATTTTGACCTTTCACGGCAGAGAGAATATCAATTTCCTTCTGCTGTCTGAAAGAAAGAGAGCATTATTTCCTCATTTAAGCTTCTCTCTTTCCTTTTACATTTCTTGCCATTAAACAGAATCTAAGCAGAGTAGATCTTGTTTTGGACATGCTGTCTCAACACAAGGAATGAGTTGTGTTAAAACACATTGTGGTGAGGAGTTGAGGTCTTCCTTATGCCTGAGAAACTGCTGTTTAATTTGGGTGCCTCCTAAGATATAAATGTGTGTGTTCTTGGAGACTTGGTTACATAGGATGTTCAGGAAATGGAACTATATGAATGCTCTGGGTGTTTTACTAAAATGTCTGGTGGCAACAGTATTTTACAAAGAGATTCTCCCAACACGCTTCCAAGGAACACACATTTCAATGATCGCCAGCCATTCGGCATCCATGGAGAGTGCAAGTAGGACAATGACAATTTGATGTATTGAGTCTTGCCTTCCGAAGAAGAAACAACGCCAATGGGTGGCTACAAAATTGACCACGAGGAAGAGGACTCAGGGAAGCAGCTCTAATGAATGCTGCCATGGTCAAGGATAAATCCAAATCCCTGAGTTTATCTCTGCTCCCTGTTTCATCTCACGCACCGGAAAGATTTCCAGGGGCTTTATTTTCATCTCTAAGATGAGAAGGGCAATTGATCGGGGTGGGAGGGCTTCCTCACCGCCAGAGAAAAATAGCTTCATTTCTTAATAAGCTTCTTAAGGATGAGATGCCTGTTGTCAGTGCTCTGAGTACAATGTGTGACATGCCAGGAGTTCGTGGAGTTAGGAAAGAAGAGGCATTTCAGTCTGTGGCTGGGAGGGGGCTAGCGGGACAAGATAAAAATCTGGAAAACAACTGCAGAGAGATGCTGGTAGAGCAATTGCCACTGCCACTGGGACATGTCACCTATTAAGACCAGCCATGCTATGAGCTGTCCACCGTGAAGAAGCAAGGAGATGTGGACTAAGGAGACAGCACAGGGCAGGAGGTGAAAGTTAAGCAGATCTGGCTAACATACTGGTTGCGTGACTCTGAACAAGTTATTAGCAAATTTATCTTAGCTTCATTCCTTTTCTGTAAAATAGGGCTGATGATACAAATTTCCTAATAGTGTTGTTAAGATAAATGGAGCTAGCACCCTTGAAGCACTTATACAGGTCCAGATACATGTTAAGTAAATGTGAGTTGTTAAGGTTATGAGTATTATTAATAATATCAGCAGGCATTATATCGCAGTGGCTAACTTCACATAATCTAGTGTCTCTCAGATTCTGCATCTTTCAAAAGGAGACACGGTATCTCCATCTGAAGCTGTTGTGAGGATTGAGTTTATATAGGTAACTGAAGAGTGCTCAGGGGAGTGCCTGGCCCAAGGCATTTGTGAAGCGTTAGCTTTTACAGTAAGTTTAATACTAGCCTGAGTACTATTGGTACTAAAGGATGGGTGGCACCTCTTGAATGTGATGACAAATGATGCCCTTCAGCAGAGATGTTGAGTAGGGGTGTGTATATCGGGGTGTATCCTGAAGAATACGGATTGTGGCAGCAGAGGTGACAGAGGGGGATTTGGTTGGTCATCTTCGTTTTGAAGGTAAAGGAGAGGAAGAAGTAACCTGGTGTTATTTCTGGGGAGCTTAGGGTTTCTCCCCTCCCAAGGTGCCTCTATGCCTTTGAAATACTGGATTTGACTCACCAGGCCTCTTATCCCATCTGAGAGCCATCGGTTTCTTGCATTTCTAGTTTCATCACTGAGATCACAGGGTTTAAAGTAAGGGTCAAAACCTCCTGCCACAGGGCTGCAGGTCACCCTGGAGGACTGGGCTCTTGCAGGGAAGGGCCCCAGAGCTGGGCTGACTGAGCTGCCACCAGCAGAGGAAGAAACAGGCTGCACTGTGAGAACTGAGCTTCTCTGTTGGCTCTGTGGATTGTCAGTGCTATGGGCTTTAGCCTTTTCACAGAACTACTCCCTAGAGAAGATTGCAGAAAAGGGGAGACAATGATACAGCAAAAGCATTTGGAATAATTGGCCCTCTTCTCACTACACCACAAGCTGAGGTTGAGAGAGAAAAGGCTCAAAAAGAAAAGATTCTGTTTGGAGAGAGACAACTATGGAGAACAGTAAGGGCTAACAAGAAGCTTCGACCTTCAAGGGTAATGCTGTGTGGTTTCCTGTCCTGCATTTGTGATAGGCAGCCTGGCACATTTCCTCTGCCCAGCAAACCCTGATGCCTCCACCGTCCCCACCCACACATACTATCTCCTCTCCTGTCTGTGAGCAAAGTATGCCTATTTCATAGAGATACAAATTATTTGTACCAGAACAAAAGCAGTTACCGTTTATGAAAAACCTTCTCACTTCTTTGCAATTGGCTACCATGACTCTGTCTCTTTTAACTGAAAGTCTGATTCTGCCATTCTTTGAGCAAACAGCTCTTCCAGCCCTCTGTGGCTCTTGGTCCAGCCAACACCTTAAGGACAGATTCTTCACTAATCCCTTTTGGGTTGCAGGGGATAATCCCTCTCACCTCCAGTGGTTGCAATGGGCATGCAATCTTGCATGGGAGACAGTCAGCCAGTGTAGTGACAGGTGCCCACAGCTACTTCTTTATCATATTGTGACAAAGCAGGGATGGGCTGAAAGAAGCTGATTGAGAAATTGATTTCTACCCTGTCTTGACTTCCACAGGCCCTGGAGTTTCTGTACTCTCCTCTTTCTCCTTCAAGGAGCCTGTTGCTATAGGAACCTGGCAGGTTGATTTAATTGTCTCTATCGGGATGCAGACACCTTTAGGCTTTTCCCATGCTGCAGAACAGCCAGGCAAAACGTTTTTCTGGTCATCTGGGATCTTGACAATGCTGCCAAGAGGCATAGTCGGTCTCTCTACTCATTGAGCTTACAGGGCTATTCCCCATTCTCGGAAGCCGTGTGACCAGCTTGAGAAAGTGGCACCAGCACAGCAGCATCGTGAGGCATGTAGAGGCACTCATATTTTTTTAAAAAATAAACAAGGGGACAAGGGTAATATAGAAAATGGTTAAAGGTATAAAATATGTAAAGTCAATTTATATCAAATATTTATTGAGCACCTACGGTAAGGATCTGGGTCATAATCTTTAATATTCAGAACAGAATTTGCAACCTCTCCCAATTGTGGCAGAAGTTTAACTGTATGTCTAAGGGTCTAGCTTTCTCTATCCATTTGAACTGGCCTTGGAAAGAACCCTGAGTAGCAGACTTTAGGGACACTGATGATGCCATGATCACCCAAGTGTTGAGACTGAGAAGGCTTCACCGTGCCTTCTGGTTTACCAGCCTACTTACTGTTCACCCCTTTCAAAGCCCAAAGCAAGTTGGACTAAATGGCTTACAAATTTCTTCTCTTCTAGAATGATGCAGATAACAGAGTTCCTAACTTTTTAAATGTATGTACTTTCTTTTCAAAGAACTCTTTAACTTTCTACCCTTACCTCCTTATTTCTTTTCTTTCTCTCTCTCTCTTTTTTTTTTTTTTTTTTTTTTTTTGCAGTGAGGGGCAGGGGGCAGTGAACAGAAAGAGATATAATAATAAGAAACTTGTATGCCCACTTCCTAGGTAAGCGGATGTTCTACTGAAAGAAGAAGGGGAAGTTTGGAGTCAAATAGAAAACAATGGAGGAGACTCTTCACTCTATTAAGGAAAGTATAATATAGTAATTTTGGCAAATAAAATTGAAGTAACAATGATCCTTCTCCACCATCAAATGTAACATTAGTCAAATATGGTCAATTCTCAATTATCTACCACTGGGGCATGACTGTGTGCCCAAAGTCCAGGAAAACCTCAAAATTCCATCTCATATCATAGTCTGTTCCCATTCCATTCCCATCACAATATCATCTCATTGGAGTTGCTAACAGATTGTGTATAAAATGCACTTTGGATTTACTTCTCTCTATCTGCCCGATCTCTGGTTGGGATTTAACAAATGTCTGAAAGGCAGGTGGCAGGAGAGATTTGGGTAATACAGCGACTGAACCATCAGCTCCCAGATAACTGGGTGTGGGCTGTTGAGTTGATATACACAGCAGAACACTTTTAATTTGAGTCATACTGATCAAGCATAAAGAAGACCAATGCTTTTGCCATTAATAACCCTCCTGGTTTAAATAAAAGGAGGATGAAATATTGACAGAGAAGCAGGTTCGCCAAATGGAATAGCTGTAAATGTTTTCCAGAAAAGTTTATCAACTGGCATCATCACTTGATTGAGTAGGTCTTGCCAAGATGAACACAGAGATGTGAACAGACCGATGTGGGGACTGGGGTTGGGGGGTGGCAATGGGGGAAGTGAAGGAAGCTGGGTTTCTTGATGAGAAAATGCTTTCGGACTTGGAGCAAGGTACCAGGGTGGGCAGGGAGGCCACGTGCAGATTAAAAGGCAAGCCAGATGGAGAGAAGTTCCCCCCAAATTACCCAACCCCACACCCAAGAACACCAAAACAAACTCTAAGGAATCTAGCAATAGCAGCAGCACAGCCTCATTGCGCTGAGCAATTTAGAAAGTGGAAGAAGGAAGGAAGAGAAGAAGGAAGGGAAAAGGAGAGGGAAAGGGGAAGGGGGGGGAAGCAAAACAAAATAAATAAAACCACAAACAGAACAATATAAATAAAAATAAACAAACCAATAACAGAATAAAATTTGTAACTCCTTTTTTTTTAATTTCACAAAAGTTTTCACAAGGACAACGTTATAGAAGAAAACCCCCAGCAGTGGCTAGGTCATGCAGAACCATTAATTGTCATACCTTGGCCCATTCTATTCATCCTTGTTGCACTTTAGAGAGAGAAGTAAGCTATGTGAGTTTTACAATGCTTTTAAACTGTCATATTTCCTGTTGAGCACTTTAACTGGCACATTCTTATAGTTATAAATGTTCTGAGGGCGTAACTTTATAACCTCCTTTGCAAAGAATGCATGAAGAGCTCTTCATGATCCAATACTAGGGGATACATATATATAGTTATATATATATATAGTTATATATATATAGTTATATATATAGTTTTATATAAAGAGATAGTTATACATAATATAAATCAATATATAGAAAGACAAAAATAATTTGAAAAAATTCTTCCACTCATAGGGCTTGTTAATTTACATGTATACAATTATTCCCCATCACAATACTGGTTTGAATACTATGCTGCCCCTGTCTTTGGTGCGGGGGAGGGTGGAGGTTCTGACAGAGCCTCACCATTTGTCAGTAAAAGTGCTTGTCAATTCACACAGCAAGCAAATCTCCAAAACTATCATGCTTGAGGGGACGAGGGATCCAAAATCTAAATCCAAAACATTCACCATAAAAACACCTTTTTAGAGATGGTACAGCTGTGACATGTTTTCCTCCTCCCTTTTACCCCTATTCTATTTGATGGAATTATTTAAACTGTTCAAATATGTGTATACCAGCCTAGTCCATCCATAAGAGAAATTGGTTATGGTGAATTGGCCAATTTTTAAGAACTACCGCACTGCCTAAAGCATGATTTGCATGCGCAAAGCATCTGACAACTATATGTTGAAAAAAGGGTATTTTTCTACCTCTCCTCTCATGCTTACTAAGTGTTAAAAAAGAAAGAACAAAAACAAAAGAAAAAATAACTATACCAAAACGTGTTTGGCTCACTGTTGCACTCTTCTCATCCCACGTCTCATAATGACAAGGAGCAGCTCTCTATTGTCGTCATTACCCTGCCTAAATTGGCTACATTAACTAAAGTGATGATGAGGAATTCTTTCCCACCAGCTTCCTTCATTGGGACAGCCAGCACCGTGCAGCTGCACCAACAGTTGAAGGTGGTGGCTGTCTTTTGTCTTTGTTGAGTCAACTGTGGCTGATCCTCCTACATTCTAATTTATTTAGCATGTCGGCTCCTAGAAAAACATGATCTGCAGCTGGGTTTGTCTTCCTCTCACTCTGCCCCAGCCCTTCCTCCTACCTGGCATTGGGGCCCTAACTAATCAAACAAAGGGGAGTAAAAGGATCCCCTGAGGATACATGGAAAAATACTTGCTCTTTCCTGAGCATTATTTATTCTGTACATAAGGTAAGTAATTCACCTTTTAAAAGATGTGAAAGTCCCAGGAAGGCAGTTTTTAATGACTTACATCTGATATTTATGATACATATGGCTTTTCATCCCAAATGTCAAAAGTGAAAGAAAAAAAACCAGCTATTCATATGGCAACATAAGGAGACAGAATAACAATTTAATATGCAATCAAACCTCTTTTCACTTAAACTAAATGACTAGAATTTGATACATCCATGATTGGAATACTATTCTTTCCTCCACATTAAGGTGAGAAATGTTCATAAGAACTCCCAGAGGGAACTGGCTCTGGGACAAAAGGCCTTGGTGAGTAACTAAAAAAATCTCTGATGTTCTCTTGCAACAAGCAAGTCCTTCAAAATCATCTACACAAATTGTGAAAGCTTTTCAAAGGCTTCGCAATACTTCGGCCCAGAGACTGGAAACAATCGATATGTTTTCATTGCTGTCTGGTTGCTTGTTTCAAATAAACATGTACTAACTTATTGTGTGTATAAAAAAAGAAAGAAAGGAAAACAACAACAACAACAACAAAATCAAAACCCAAAGCACCCTGATAATCCTGATAAATCAGAATCAACTTTTCTTTTACATTAAATAAACTTGCTCTGCCTAACTGACATTGATCACAAGGGCTCCCTTCTAATCTGTGAACTCGTTCCTGCAGTGAGCTATTTATGTCTGGAGCATGCCTTTGGGTTATTTTTCCCCTAGAATCATAAATAACTTTTGGTCCGTCTGCTTATTTGCTGTTGTGCTCAAGGGTTTTATGGTGGTGAAATAAAAATGACAACCACATGCACACTATCATACATATGCAAATATGTGTAAAAAAAAGAGGGGGGGACTACAGGGGAAAACAGGGAAAGTTACTTTGTTGGAAACACCAACTGGGGAAATGAGTGGCAGATACAGTTTCACACAGTGGCGGTGGATACACATATCAAAGCCGCTCTTCCTGCACGTACTTCTGTTTGTCCCGGGACTCCCTGGACTTGGGCCGGTTCTGTCGGTTTGCCGTGGATGGGATGGAGTGAACAGAGGAGCTCTTCTTGCTGGACGACTGCGACGAGTGGGAGGAATGGGACAGGCTGGCCCGGGACTGGCCGGCGTTGTGGTCAAACTGCATTAAGCAGAAGATCAGGTCCGTCGGCACGAGCTCAAACTCGTAGGGGGGGTTGGTGATGACATACCTGGACAGGAAAAGCAGAGATGTCACCGCCCGAGAATAACTGAGTAGAGAATTCAACCCTCCCTGAACCAAAAGCAATGGCCTGGTTACTCAGGACTTTCAGAGGATCTGGAAGATGCACTTCTAGCTGGTCCGAGGCCTTAAACATTCTTTTCCTTGTTAAATGGAAACTTCCTCTGTTTAACTCAACAAAGGAGGCCAGCCAGGAGCTCAGGCAGAGATGTGGAATTAGGGCCAGTAATGGAAGGACCAAACTTTGCTTCTCGTGGTCTACAGGTACCTTTCTATACAAGGTCAAAGTCACTTCCAAGTAGCCCAGCCGCAGGAGGTTTCATGAAGTGTGATGCAACTTTCATTCCAGAATTTTTGGACAATCCCAGATATACATCACAAGATCTTTGCTTACTATTACAGAGTGTCTCCTTAGACTATATTCTCGCTCTTTACCTTTTAAAATCTGTTTTGGTGGGAGAATTTGGAATTTGGAATTCATCACGTGGAAGAATCTAAGAACCCTGCCTACTTATCAGCACTACTTTGTTGTTCTTCACAATGAGTTGGAGCTTTCTTTGGTCAACAGCAGATGTGACTAAGATGATCACCCTGTTTCATTTAGAGCAGTGGATCACAAAGTGTGGTCCTCAGGCCACACAGCTCGGCATCACCTACGAACTAGGAAATGCAAGTTCTTAAGCAACCCCACCCAGACCTACTGAATTGGAAGTGCTGAGGATGGGTTCTGTGGTTGAACAAGCTCTGCAGGTGAGTCTCATGCTGGCTAAATTTTGAGAACCCACTGGTCTATAGCAATTGTTCTCAATTCTGGCTATACACAATAATCCCTGGGTATTATATATAAAATTGTTATATATTTTAAAATATATATATGATTTTTTCTTCCTTCCAGACCAGTTAAATTAGAGTAATCAGAATATTTTTTAAAAGCTCCCCAGGTGATTCTACTATGCAAGCAGGGATGAGAAACGCCTGTCTCTGCAGCACTATTGCCTAGGGTATATTATGCAAACTCACTGATCTTGGTAATTCTAGGATGTACTTTTAATTTTTGCCTGCTATGAATTTATTTTAATGCATATGAGAAAAATATAATTAGCACATCTAAACTGTTATTATTTCTGCTTAAGGTGATAATATACAATTGTCTCAAAAATAAATACATAAAAGTTAAAAAGTGAGTCAATTTAAAATATATGAAGTAAAAATATAGGATTCTAAGATATGGCAGAAGAACCACTTGTCTTAGGGCCGGGTGTGGTGACTCACACCTGTAAGCCCAGCACTTTGGGAGGCCGAGGTGGGTGGATCACTTGAGGTGAGGAGTTCGAGACCAGCCTGGCCAACATGGTGAAGCCTTGTCTCTACTAAAACCACAAAAATTAGCTGGGTGTGGTGGTGGGTGCCTGTAATCCCAGCTACTCAAGAGGCTAAGGCAGGAGAATCCCTTGAACCCAGGAGGCAGAGGTTGCAGTGAGTCAAGATTGCGCCACTGCACTCCAGCCTGGGCGACAGAGCAAGACTCCATCTCAAAAAAAAAAAAAAAAAAATTATCATAAACACTAGCAATGTGAAATGATATATCTCTATATTAGATACCAACAGATGTTATCCTAGTAGCTGGAGTTTGGGAGAGATGTTTGTATTCAGACTTTTGTAATTGGGTGATGCAATTATTCTATTAATACAAAACTTGAATTCTTACCAAAATGTCTTTACATCCACTATTAGTAATTATAGAAAAATGCTTCCCATCACCTCCAAACTCAGTGCCGGATTTAATATGGGCAGGGTAATTTGCATGTTGGGGAGATGTATACAGACCTTTGCCTTTACAGTAGGGGATTATTGTTTCTGTGATTAGGTGGGAGGGCAGAGTTGAAACCAATACTCACCTCTTTGTGCACTGACTGGGGGTGCTGAGGTGGGCATCTCTCAACCGGTAAATTCCAAAACAAAGCATATTATATGTTTTCAGAGCTTTGCAGAACAGATCACCATAACAACCACCATCCTGGGAGACAACAACAGAACAGAGAGAAACATCCTTTTTATTTGCCTGAAAATCAAGGGCCATCAGGGAAAAGGGTCTTTTCATCAAAGCTTGTTTTGGTGTCTCCCAAGTTGGAGGGTCCATGTGCCAAGGGACGGCAGTGGAAGAAGTCAACATGATTAACAGACTACGGACAATATGTGTGATTTTGAGGGATCAGGTAACAATGGGGCTTTCCTCTGGTGTCTCTCCAGTTTTCCACCTGTAGCAATGGGGTTTGAAAGCTCTAAGGAGATTATGCTTCTCCCTCACTTTAAGTGAAAGTGTAAAGCTTGATGGTCTCAGATGCATGCTCAGCTGAGGAGATGAACCCTTCTCTGCAAAATGGTGATTATGTTCAGCCCCAGCTCAGCTGTAACCACTGTGATAGGATCGTGTTGTCAAAACCGCCTGAGTGATAATGAAAACCACAGCGAGGAGGAGGACCCCACCAGGTCCCATGGTGACAGACTCTTTCAGGTAAGGACCCTGTGAAAAGCACAATTTACAGACCTCAGAGATGGCAAGGGTGGAAGAGAATGTGTTTCCCCAGGAGCCAGGGGCCTGCAGGCTGAATAACTGGGATTCGCAGTTCTGATCAATTCACAGCCACCTTCCCAGGGTCTGGGGCCTGATGCAGAAAGTGAAAGCAAATGCATCCACTTGGAAATGCTGGCTTCAGCAGCCAGGTGGCTTCAGGTAGATGTTAACAGTATTACATGAAGGGCACTGGGCACTGCGGGATGGCTTCACTGGGAATAAAATGACTGTCTTCGTCCTTCCAATCACTGGAATTCTCATATTGGTCTCATACTAAAGAACACAGATGGGACCAAAGCTTACCATTATCTAAAGTCTTTATCCTAATCAAGTGCATCAGTAAGTAAATGATAGGTATAAAGAGCCACTAGCTATGAAACCTCCCTTTCAAAAAAAGCCTAGTCTCACATAGGTCCCAGCCCATGATCAAACTAAAATATGGGGCAAGTATGCAGAATTGTTTCAGTAAAAACAGAGACAGACCCTTTCCTTGGCTCCTTTTCCACTATTTAGTCTTTCCGGGCGACACTATTGTTTGTGTAACAGGTTTATCAGTTTCTATGAATATGGCTGCATCTCTTAAATGCATCTGTGGGGTTGAGCTGGGAATAAGGGCAAAGACACTACACTTCTGTCACAGTGCCTACGCTAGGCAGGTGCATGGAATCAGAAGGGAGATGCTGGCCACTTCTGTCACAGGGAGGACCCGAGGGAACGTGACTGGGTCCAATCTCAGAAATTACAAGGTCTAGGTCTTGAATTACAGGCATTAAAGGATCCACATGAGATTCTGTTTGTTTGGCTGGTGGTTCTGGATACATCTGACTACTGACTACCCTGGTGCTTTGAAAACCACCAGTGCCTAGGTCATACTCACATATAAAATCTGAGAAACCTGCAGGATGAGGCTGGCCACCTCCATGTGCTATTAATGTATAGTTGGGTTGAGTATCCCTAAGCTATGCTAAGAGCCTGTGGAAATATTTCCCAACCTTGGCTGCATGCTGGAATCACCTGCTGCCTTCCACCTCGTGCAGAGGATACGTGAAGAGAACACCAAGGAGTGAGAAAGCCCACAGGCTCTGAAGCCAGGATGCCTTGGTGCAAATTCCCAATAGGTCCAGTGCTCATTCTCTCTGAGCCTCAGTTGACTTAGAAGGTGTGATACTAGAACTTACATCAAAGGGTTGCTATGAAGATTAAAATGAATGACTTATGCATAGAACAAAGTGCCTGATACAGAGTAAACCATAAATATCACCTCTTACAGTTATCTTACAATAGGAAGGAGAAAAGACAGATGCCTTGCTTGTCACATCTGACACCACGTTCTTCAGGATCAAGCTTTTCCCAAACAGCAAGCTCAGGTGACCATGGTGCTGCGGACTCACCCCTAAGTCTGCAAATGGCCCATCGAGCAGAGCTAACTGGGCCACGCGGCAGCGGTCCCTATTGGCCAGTGTCTGCGGGGTGCTGTAGCCACCTCTAAGGGCATTCTCCTCAGCAATCAGAGCTTCCAGCTCCGGTGTGGCTCCTCCGGTCACCAGGGTCCGTATCAGGGTGAGGATATTGTCATTGAAGTATGTCTGTGGAAGGAGAGAAAGTGGGGGGAAAGTCCTTTAAGCAAAAACCCTAAAGTCATGACAGCCGACATCCAAATTACAACTTTTCTTGGTATCTCCTGTTTAAAGTTCTGGCCTGTCTCTTCAAATAATTTTATGTGGGAAGTGAAAAGACAGCAGCCTCCAATTATTCCATTATTTTCTCTCCTGCTTGGCTCTGCCATGACAGCCTGACTTAAAAAACCCAGTTCAGGGGATTTTTAGTAAAGAGCTCAAATCTGAATAATTAGTGTTTACCATAATTGGTTTTAGTAGGGATACAAATATTGCCTCCCCCTCCTCAAGTCTACATGTCTACTATGAGACTCTGGACACATGTAATAAAATGCAGCCTGCCCCAGCTGCTAACCCAAGCGGCATTGTCTCTGAGGTCCTGTCACCCATGTGCCAGGAAGCTTCCTCCCCATGACAATGGCAAAACCTTTCATTAATGCCGCATGCTCAACAATTTATCACATGCGTTGATAACTGTCTAACCCAGAAATCTCGATCAATTAAATATGCCAGATAAATTTATGACAAGGTGAATGTCCTGGTAAGTGTACTTTGGCTTTTGTTTTCTAAAATAACCTCAGTAGTCTGAGGCAAATATCACTTATTAAAGAAGTTTCCCTCTAAGTGTACATTTGTGTCACATCTGAACATAACAGATCTGTCAGGAACAAAACAATGGGAGTTTAAAAAAAATTAATAGGATGTCAAGTAAAGGAGCTTTAAAAGGTATTTGTCACCAGCCTAATTTGAGAAATTCTCAGGTAAGGGTGTGCATTCCATTTTCCTATGTAAGTAGAAATCAAGCAGCCTAAAAAACTCAAATCAAAGTTTGCCTGTGGTTTTTGAGGATGTACTTTGGAAAGAGGTAAGGAAAGATGCAATTGTACCTCAGCAACTTATTAGAGAGTTTACCTGGCAAGGCATAGCAGGGAACAAACCAAGTAAGTGTGAGCTCAAGTTCCCATCCCAGGTTTGCTAACTAGTTCTATGTCTTAGAGGTTGCCTAGTCATTCTGGGCTCTGATTTTTCTCATCTGTAAAATAAGTGCAGTCACTAAAACCAAATTTATATTCACAGAATTCCATGAGGACTTCTGAATTAAGATGATAGTTGCTAGTGGGGCTGGATTCACATTCCTTACTGAAATACTTACAAAAACACCCCAATGTGATACAAAATTCCAACTGCAAAAGAAACTAGGAATGTTACTCATAGCCTGCCAGACCCTAAAGGAAATTTATGCTCAGGGTTAAGAGATGCCCATAGGCACAGATGCAGGAAAAGGATACTTAAAGTAGGATATGTTGCTGGAGAGGTTATGGGAACCAGGGATCCAGAGTTGGGCTGAGGGTTTTATGCTGACTTCATCTCTCAGTAGCTGTGTGACCTTGAAAGTTATTTAACATTTTTGTGCCTCCGTTTCATGATCTGTAAAACGTAATAATAGAGTGCTGCACGGCTCTATGACCTACCCATGAAGCACTTAGAAACAGGTTTGGTGCACAGGAAGCAATGATAAACATTTTGGCCTCATATCAGAGACATGAAGCCTTTGCCAACGACAGGAACAGTCAGACCCATTCCCAACCTTCCTTTGACTTTTTAATCGTTTTTGTTTTTTCTCTGAGGGGTGGGGAACTCAGGGCTTTAAAAGCCAAACAAGGGATTTTAAACTCAATGTGGTAGAAAATGGGAGGTCAGCCAAGTATGGTGGTGCACACCTGTAATCCCAGAACTTTGGGAGGCCAAGGTGGGAGGATCACTTGAGGTCAGGAGCTGGGACCCGGTTGGCCAACGTGTTGAAACCTAGTCTCTACTAAAAAAAAAAAAAAAAATAGCTAGGCATGGTGGTGGGCACCTATAATCCCAGATCCTCGAGAGGCTGAGGCCAGAGAATTGCTTGAAACTGGGCGGCAGTGGTTGCAGTAAGCTGAGATCATGCCACTGCACCCCAGCCTGGGTGACAGAGTGAGATTCTGTCTCAGAAAAATAATGAATAAAATACTTAGAAATAAATATACCCAAGGAGGAACAAGACTGGTATACTGAAAACTACAAAAAAATTACTGAAAGAAATTAAAGAAGACCTAAATAAATGGAAAGACATCCCATGTTCATGGATTGGAAGACTTGATTTATTAAGATGGAATACTACCCCAATTTCCAGATTTTATGTAATACCTCTCAAAATCACAAAGTCCATTTTTTTGTAAAAATGGAAAAATTGACTCTAAAATGGCAACAGATCCAAAATAGCCAAAGCAATCTTACAGTCTTGTAAAGGAAAGACAAAGTTGGAAGATTCATACTTCCTGGTTTCAAAACATACTACAAGACTACAGTAATCAAGATAACATAGTAGTGGCATAGGATAGACCTATAGACCAATGGAAAATCATTGAAAATCCAGAAATAAACTCATTCAGTTATGATCAATTAATTTTCAGTGTGGGTGCCAAGACCATTCAATGGAAAAATTAATATAGTCTTTTAAACAAATGGCACAGCAACAACTGGGTATCCACATGCAGAAGAATAAAGTGGGACCTATACCTCACACTATATGCAAAAATTAACTGAAAAGGGGTCAAATATCTAAATGTAAAAAGCCAAAACTGCAAAATGCTTAGAAGAAAATATAGAAGTAAATCTTTATGACCTTTGATTTGGCAATAGTTTCTTAGACATGACACAAAAAGCATAAACTACAATAAATTGGACTTCATAAAAATTTTAAAAATGTTTGTGCTTTGAAGGACACTATCCAAAAGGTGAAAAAAACAACCTACAAAATGAGAGAACATGTTTGCAAATCATATATCTGATAAGGGTCTAATATTCAGTATTAAAAAGCCTTTTATAACTCAACAAAAAAAGATAACCCAATTTTTTAAATGGGCAGAAGACTTAAACATTTCTCCAAAAAGATATAAAAATGGTTAATAAACTTATGCAAAGAGGCTCAATAGCTCTAGTCATCAGAGAAATGCAAATCAAAACCACAATGAGATATCATTTTACACCTACTAGAATAGCTGTAATAAAAAAGACAGATGATAATAACAAGAATTGGTGAGAATAAGGAGAAACTGGAACTCTCACACTGCTGGTGGGAATGTAAAGTGGTACAGTCACTTTGGAAAACAGCTAGGCAGTTCCTCATATGTTTGAACATTGTGTTGCTAAATGACCCAGAAATTCCACTCTTATAGTATATACCCAAGATAAATAAAAATATATGTCCACATGAAAATGTGTACATGGATGTCTACAGCAGCATTATTCATAATACCCAAAAGGTGAAAATAACCCAAATTTCCATCAACTAATGAATGCATACACAAAATGTATTATATTCATGCAATGAGTATTATTTGGCCACAAAAAGAAGTGATGTAATGATACATGCTACAACATATGTGTGAACCTTGAAAACATTGTACTGAGAGTCCATTTATATAAAATATCCAGAATAGGCACATCTACAGAAATAATGAGTAGATTAGTGGTGGCTTAGGGCTGGTGGGGTGGTGGTAGAGTTGTAGGGGAGGGGAGGATAACTAAAATACAAAGTTTCTTTTGATGCCACGAACATGTTCTAAAATTGACTGTAGTGTTGGCTGTACATGTCTGTGAATATACTAAAAAAAAAACCACTGAATCATACACTTTAAATGGATGAGTTGTATGGTATGTTGTGTTTCATTTTTAAAAAAGAAATTGTTAAAAGATAACTAAATTTGCAATGGCCAACTTTTTAATCTAAGAAGCCATAAGTATTAGAGCTGAAAATTACACACACACACACACACACAATTAGTGATATGGAAGTAAAACTAGGAAGTTCTAAGCTAAAAGAGAAAGATATAGGGATTTTTTAAAATAAGAGTGCTGATTGATAATGAGAAAAAGACAACAGAGGTCAAGTGATAAACAGTAAGTATTTACAAATCAAAATTGTAAACAAAATGCAAGCATGTAAAACAAGCAAACAAACAAATAGCAATAACCTGTCCTGAGCTGAGAAATGAATCTAGGATGCAGATCAAAAGCATTTACCAACTTAATGTGGCCAATTCCTAGACCTGTACTCGGTGAGTATTTGAATTTAAAATATTAAATGGAGAATAAAAATTACCTAAAACAATGCTGTAAGAAATACAAATATAAAATGAGGCTAGCATGAAGCTTCTCTAGAAAATGTAAGAGGAATGTCAAAGGAATTTTAGCAGGACACATTTTTCCAAAATTTCTAGACACAGCTAAATTGCCAATAATTTGTGAAGGCAAATGAAATATTTTTTGACTCTTTGCATACATAAGCATTTATTGATTTCATTTTTTTAAATACTCAGAACAAAAATTAGCTTCCTTAAAGATAATTTTAAACTCTTAATAACTAAAATATGAGCAAATTTAGTTTACTGGTAAAATATATTTTAAAGAGAATTGTAAAAGATTGTTGTACATATTATTACAAAACGGAATGCAAATGTCAAAACTAATTATTTAAAAAAGACAAAAATTAGCTATTAATATAGTATTGCTAAAATTATGTTTTAAATTCAGAAAAATGAGATGAAATAGAGATGATGATGGAAGTAAAGGCATGAAAATTGCCTGATCTTATACAAGGAGGAATCAAGAACCATTAAATTTTTCCAGACAATAATACTTAGAAAATACATCTATAGAATGGCTGGTAACAACTAACTAGAGTTAAAAATAGAAGGGAAAGTTTACACTAAAGAAAATAAGCATACAAAATATAGTCCACATACCAAAAGATAGATCATAATTATGATCTATAACACATAATTATGTGTTAGATCATAACACATAATTATGATAGAAGCATGTAAAAAACATAATGCAAACAGTAAGTATTTACAAATCAAAATTGTAAACAAAATGCAAGCATGTAAAACAAGCAAACAAACAAATAGCAATAACCTGTCCTGAGCTGAGAA